TGCGCGAGCAGCAGCTGCAGCAGGAGCTGCTGACCCTGAAGCAGAAGCAGCAGATCCAGCGGCAGATCCTCATCGCCGAGTTCCAGCGGCAGCACGAGCAGCTGTCCCGCCAGCACGAGGTCCAGCTCCAGGAACACATTATGGTATGTCGTTTACATTTCACACCACTTTCTGCTGCTATCCGCCTCCACAAAGGCGGAGTATTGAGTTCATTTCGTTCGCTTCCCCTTCAGAGACGGTCGACGGCGACAGATCCAGAAAACGTGCATTAAATAATACTTAAGAGCAGGTGTTTGGCTCCTTGAGTGGACAGGATTTGCTTCTCAGAACCTGCCGGCGCTTTGAGGCAGACGTCGTATCGTAGTGACCTGGAAATACAAAGTGAATCTAGACCAGCACGCCCACACGGCGGAGCTCTAATACGCCCGGGGCCCCCCGAGAGCGCCGGAGAGCTCCTGTGGGGCTTACATGTCATGTAAAAATATTCCAGTGTTTGTTCTTTTGTAGAATATTACTGCTCGTAATATGAATTGCAAAGATTCGGCTTCTTTTTTTCAGGACAGGGCAGGAGATTAGATCGCAGTGTGCAGGATCACTTTAGTCTGAGGGGAATGGTTTTAATTCCTCACGTGCAACTTGGTTCACACTGGACGTCTTTCTTTGATTCCTTTATTGTCTTTCCTTCTTTCCTTTTCTCCTTCCTTACTGTCTCCTTGTATTCCTTCTTTCCTCTCCTCCTTCCTCACGGCTTTCTCCTCTCTTCCTCTCCCTTCTTTCCTGTCTCCTTTCCTGTCTCATCTTCCATCTCCTGTCACCCTTCTTATCTTTCCTACTGCCATCTTCTCTTCCTTCCTTTTATTGTGTCTCCCTCGCTTTCCTGTTTCTTTCCTTCCTGACTTCCTCTTGTCCTCCTTTCCACTCACCCTTCCTTTCTCTTTAGTTGCTCTCTTTGTCCTTTTCCTCTTTTCTCTCCTAAATGAATCTCCTTCCTCTTTTCCTTCTCCTGTCTTTCTTCAACCTTCCTCTCTCCTTTCATTTCTTCCTTCTTCCGAATAAAAAAATCCTTTAGCAGATGCTTCAGGCACACTTCACATTGCCCTCCTCCCCCGCAGGTCAGCAGTATTTATGGACCACAGTATCTACTGTGCTTGCTCCTCTTGTTGAGTCCCGTCTGTTGGGTCGTCCTGTGACACTGAGGGATGAGGGCCGTCTGGCCTGTGGTGGTGGGGGGGCTGGGGGGGGGGGGGCTGCAGGACCACTCGGGTGGAGGCCAGTGACGCACAGCCTGAGCAGGGAGGCCCGGCCTCAATCAGCCCCATTCACTGGCCCTATGGACACACACACACACACACACACACAGGCATTAAAACATACACATCCTCTCAAATGTCAGCAAACACACACTCACACGATGCCCGGTTTGCTTCCACATCTGGGGCAGCCAAACACACACTTGCTTATACACACACACACACACACTCTCGCTTAAATGTCTGCAAACATTTCTTGCCTGTTGACAACAGGGAACGCTCATAAAGTGAGAGCTATCATGAAGCTCTTTGCGGTATTAGTCATCTGTGTGTACATCTCTGGTCTACCGAGCCACAGGGGTTTTGGGCGTGTGTGTGTGTGTGTGTGTGTGTGTGTGTGTGTACATGTGGGCGGGGAGGTTACTTTGAGCCTCAATCCCCAACGTTGATTGAAAGACAAAAAATAAATAAAAATGGACAGCCGATGTGCTTTTCTCACGAGCCCCTCCTCAACCTTCCTCTTAAAAAACCGCCATCAGAAGTTGATTACACGCAGTTACGGCAAACTGATCAAATATTGCCATTGGGTGTGTGGTGATGAGGGGAAGAGGAAGAGGAGGGCAGAGCCACGGTCATTATGGAGCCGGCTGAGTGCAAGCACAGACAGCTTGCCTATTCATTCTATATTACAGTGGCATTAAAGTGTAATTGTGACTCTTTGATTCGGTGCCTTGAGTCGAAGGAACGCATTAAGATGGTGAAAGCAGCTTTCAGTTTGCATCAGCAGCATTTAATTGATGCTCATATGCACAGCGACTCATTTAAGGACACTTCAGCGAGACGAAGAGGGGTTTCTGAACACATTTGGTGCTTTGACGCAGATTTTTATTTGTGACCTTTTCGGCCACAGCCTGGTTTCTTTTCTGGCATTTAAAGTGGTGAACAGATGCTCTCCTCTGTCTCTGCTGGAGGGACGAGGAAGTGAGCAGATTGGATGATGTGAGGCTAAAGCCTCATCACCCAGTTAAACTGTTTATGTTCATTTAAAGGCTTGTGGCCTGAGGTTTTTATAGAATTGCAAAGTTTTCTTTATTTCATTGCTTCAAACAGCTGTCAGACTTAATTATTTCAGATGGCAACTTACCAGGAGTGGAATGTAAATGGGTGTTTAAAGAGGAGAAAGTAAGGAATTGATCACATTTAGATTAGAAAACCAGAAGTTATCGTCATGAAGTGATCTCATCTCGTGTCTCCTGTTGTGCGGAGTTTGCGGGAAAAAGTTTGAATATACCGCTGGATGTTGAAGACCATTGTTCTGATGTTTTCTCCCTTACAGCAGCAACAAGAGCTTCTGGCTTTGAAGCACCAGCAGGAGCTGCTGGAGCATCAGAGGAAGATGGAGAACCACCGTCTGGAGCAGGAGCTGGAGAAGCAGCAGAGGGAGCAGAAGCTGCTGCTGCTGAAGAACAAGGAGCGGGGACAGGAGAGTGAGTCGACTGCCTCCATTGTGGCCATTAAACATCACGTTAAAAAGCACATTAGTAAATGTTTCTGGGACCTCCGCAGACGATATACACAAAAAGTTAACGTTCCTCCTGTTTGGTGGCATCTGCCAGGTTTCAAAATGCTCCACGGTTGAAAGGACCGTTGAGCTCCACAGTGTGTGAGTGTGTGTGTGTGTGTGTGTTTCCATTTTACTTGGAGAACCTGTGTGTTTACTGTGGTTAAACGAGCCGTATTAGCCGGTGGCCTTGGGCGGGGGCGGGGGGGGGGCGGGGAGGCCAAGCCAAGTTATTACCGCCGCATGCTGGATGTCTCTCAGCAGTTCATTGAAAGCGAGTGGACAGGAGTCCTTGAGAGCAGTTTACATGTATGAAGTCATTATTGGATTAATCTGCTGGTGGTTTTGTCAATGTTTGTTTTTTTATTAAATTAAGCCCTTTATTAAGTTTTGTCCAACCAACAGTCCAGAACCCAAAGAATAAATTTTTTAGTAATATTAAAACAGAGAAAAGGACAGATTTATCACACTGGAGGAGAAGCTGGAACCCAGAGATCGTTTGCTGTATTTGATTGAATTATTTCTACAAAGTAGTTTGATTTTGTGACGGTCGATAAGGGCATCCGCTGACATTGCGCTGTATTGTCTGTGCACTTTGTAATAAAAACGAAAGTGCACACCAAACAGTGAAAGATTCTCCACATTTCTGTCATTAAAAACCTCCTAAACTTTAAAAAAACATGTCAAACTTCAACTCCGTAGGTGCGGTGGCGAGCACAGAGGTGAAGATGCGGCTCCAGGAGTTCGTCCTGAACAAGAAGAAGGCCCTGGCCCAGCGGAGCCTCAACCAAGGAGGCCTCCACAACGACGCTCCCTACTGGTACCGGTGAGGAAGTTATAGGGTTCACTCGCACTGATACGTCGCTACCAGTCACTTTGCGAGCTGGAAAACAATTTGAATGTCCCGGCCGGCGTGTTTCTATTCCCCTCCTCTGTAATGACTGCGGTGGAGGCGGATCGTTGTGAGTTAGGGTGGTATTTCTCTCTCTAACTGTCAGCGAGCCCCTCCTCTTCCTCAGGGCAGGATATTGGAACCTGATGATAGGGGCTCTTACTCTGAAGGCTCGGCCTTGAATGTTTATTGTAGCATCTCTGGAGCCCTTTGCAGGTGTGCACACTCTAGTTTCATTGTCTGAGTGACACGGAAACATAGTTACGCAAACCAATTTATGTTGGTCATGTAGAAGTTACCTGAATTAAATTGATTGAACGACTTGTACATTGAACTGAACATTAAAGGCCCCAGTAAACAAGAATGATAGTTACATTTGAAAGTGTAGGCGATAAAAACACGATGTATTGTGCAGCCCTACAGAACAGTACGCTACAAAGTGCTGTTAATGTATCATTTCCAAATCATTTTCTTCAGGATTATGTATTTAATTTGGCACAGTGAAATCACTAAAACCATTAAATGCAAATACATAACCAAACAATGTTACGTAACGTTGATGTGCGACCCAATGAAACACCCACAAGCGTCGACTTTCAGCAGCTCAAAGTGAGGATAGCAACTTTCTCTTTCTACATCCGCCTGTGTCTCCTCTTCCACTCATTGGACTCATCGAGAGAACAGATGGCAGCGCATGTCTGCAGCCTTGCCAGGGGATTAGCATGAGGCGTTAATCATACAGATCTCTGAGCAGCCGTGAAGTTAGTTCCTTTGCTTTGGATTTCGGTCACGCGTCCGCTACGTTGCACGACTCCGTGGTCTCAGCGACACCTTTAACACTTTGTTTCTGTTCTATAGCAAAACCCAGCACAGCTCTCTGGACCAGAGCTCGCCTCCACAGACTGGTGTGTCCACCTACAACCACCCTGTGCTGGGTGTCTACAACCCCCGGGATGACTTCCCGCTGCGAAAGACTGGTACATAACACACACACACACACACACACTTACATACTTAGAGCTGTCTGCTTGCTCCTATGCAGACTCACTCGCAGCTGTAACGTCCAGTAGCTGCTACGCGGACTCACGTCTAGCATAATTTAGAGCTCTGCGCCATTAATCACATCCACATTAGGCTGTCAAGGTCTCCCAGCATGCCCCACACGAGAGTGTTAGAGAGAGTAGAAGCGTAGGCGGTTCAAGAGTTCAATGGAGGGAGAGAGGTTTTTAACATTTAGGCACGTTTTATTAATTTTTAATAGTTCCTTTTCCTCAGGCGTTGTTTAAAGTCAGCTTGATCTTGACACTGTCCGTGTTAATAATTACATATCTATATCAAAATTGCTTTTTATAGCCAAGAGTTTAGAAAGAGCAGTGTATCTATGAATACATATAGATAGATATATATATACACTCATCTCCTTTCAGGTTTGAGGCACTCAGCATCACTCTGATGCTTGCTGTTGTACTACTTTGTGTTGCAGGCCCATGCCTTTAAAATGTTTTATGATTGCATTTTAAAGCTAACTGGCTCTGAGAGATCCTATTTTCGGGCTGTGTCAGTTGGGAACATCTCCAGCAGAGCAGCGATTACTTCTGGGGTTCCCCAGGGCTCGATCCTTGGCCCTTTATTGTTTTCAATTTGCGTGCTACTTCTGCTCTGGGTCAAGTAATTCACAACTGCAATATTTATTTTCACTGTTACGCTGATGATACACACACACAGTGAACCCATCAGACCTGTCCTCTGTTTACTCACTGTCTCAGAGATGTCAAGTCATGGACGTCCAATTATTCTTTATATTAAATGAACAAAATACAGAACATGTAAAAAAAGTGATCTGCTTCCATTGGGTTGATGCTGTAAAAAGGAATTCTTTTGGTGTTTTTTCATGACACACAAACCTTTATTTATGTCTTTTATGTCTTTGTTTTTTTATTGGCTTTTAGGTTATACTTAGAGCACCAAGCTTTCTTTTAAATTGGTGACAAATCTCTGCTGCAACGCTGCAGAGTGCACCCCTGGAATAAAGTTTCCTTGTGGCCCACGATCTGAACGTCTTCAGGCTTTCGAGCTCAAAGTCGAGATCCCTTTGCAGAGTAAAACCAGCTGTTTGCAGTGTGTTTTTTTTGGGTCAGGTGTGTGTATGTGTTCCGCTTCGTGTGTGCGGTGGTGTAGCCGTGATGCAGCGGTCGCCTTACAGTGCAATTATTCACTTAGCGCGGCGGCGGGCGGCCCTGTTGACTCTGAGCCTTCGGGCTATGGCAGCAGATACACAGACCACAGTTGACACTGGCTCACACAGCCACATTCCACCCTGAGAGAGGAGAAGACGAAGAGAGGAGGAGAATATGAAGGGTGAAAAGTGAGAGCCGTGATAATCAGAAAGATCGATTGAGGAAGATGGGGGGGGCTTCACTGACGAAAAACATTTGGGGTGGAGGATGGAGGGTGCACAGCAATAGAAGATGAGAGTGCAGAACATGCACGTGGCACAATGACACCACACTCCCACAAAACTCTCTTCATGTAGAGAAGAAAAAAAAAAGGCTTTCGGAAAATGGCGGGGAGTGAAACGCTCGTCCCTGGAGTGTCAGTTCGTCCCTTGACATCTATAAGGCTGAGGATTGTGTTGGAGAGGAGGGAACCTGTGCCACCCTGATATTTGCCCACAGCGATGACGTGCTTTGCGGGGTTTACTTATGGTAATGCCAGCTCGGGAGAGGTTAGAGGCTCTTTTATATCACCGCCCGGCCATAAAGTAGAGGACTGGCACCCAGGGAAGCAACAGCGCTCTTTTGTGCGTCTCCTCTTCCATTTTTTTTCCGAAATTCAGCGTCGACGAGACTCTTATCCACAACACAATGAGAACAGCGCGACAACGGACTGATGTAAAAAACAGTAATGCTGGGTTACATGCTGCATTGTTTCCTTTTAAATCCTGCGCTAACAGTGAACACTACTCCATAGAGAGTTAATTACAGAGTACATTACCGCCCCTTATGATAAAGTGGGATCATCTGAATCTGTGGTTGGAGAAGGGTTGCGTGACAAGAGGTGCTACCCTGACAAGCTGAGCCCTCAGACAATTGGACGCCCTTTAAAATCAATAACTCTTCTTATGCAGCGAACACTCGGGGGTCAGAGAGCAGCGCATGTCAGCAGCATGTTCTCACATACACATGGATGCCTCTGAAAGACTTAGACAGGGTGGGAAGGTTTGAGGCCCTCACCATCACTGCGCTCTTTGATGGAGGCGGAGCAAAGCCTGCGGCCCTTGTCTTTTCACTGATGAGCAAATATGTGTTGTTTTTTTGTTGTTGTTGTTTCTGGGGTACATCGACAACACACAGGCAGACTAATACTCTCCAGATCACGGCACACAGCTCGCCCTAATGAACACAGAGCAACATGCGGTCGTATGAATGCAGGACGTCACCCCCCGAACACAGCCTTTTCATCCCTGCTATGAGGCCCGCTTGTAAGATGGCCGACAATGCCCCTTCTGTGCATTGATATCATGTGTGATTGTATGTGCTCAGGCCTCCCTAAAGCCTGTAACAAAGCATCTCATTTTGCATGAAGACTTACCAGTGATACGGTCATGTAGAGGCCATATGCTAGGCATGATTTCCACCAAATGAATCCACCAAAGATGGAAATAACTCCATGCAATGATCTATAAATCAGCTTTTATTCTCCGCTCAGAGTGGACAGAAGATGAATTGATCAAAAATGCTTGAAGCTTTAATTTTTTGATTTTACCAGAGCCGCCAGCGGTAACTACAGACACAGTGAAGTTATGAAAGATGCCACACTTCATGTTTGGACAATCTAAATGGCATTTTTCTTGTTGTTGTATTGTGTCCATTATACCACGATGACCTCGATTTTTGTGGCCCTTGTAATGTACTTTTGCACAAATCATTTTCATTATTCCCTCAGATCTGAAGATGGAATTCAGAGATTCGTAGTGAAATTGCAGTAAATTGGCTCCACAAACTTGAATTGGTTTGATTCCATCTGGACCGAGCTCTCGCTCCCGTACCTTCACACTTACTTCCACACGTTTATTTTTACCCGAACACTGTGAACGGGAACAAGTGTCTGACGACTGTTTCCCAAAATGACTTTTGTCAGGGACGTTGGCTGCAGGTGAAGAAGCGTTTCAGTACGGTATGTCACAATCAGGGCTGGTGGTGTACCACAGATGCATTTAGGTCCCCTTTGACGATTTAAAAATTGGATAATGAATAGTGAAATTATCCGAGGCTGCTGATTGGCAGGGCAGAGTAAACAGATCATTAGCCTCCGTGGCTGCAGCCAAGGTGACATGCCGTTCCCTTCTCCCTGTCTCCATTCACAACTCTGTGACAGCGTTCACAAAAGACCAACAGGCCTTTAGGCGATCAGACATGGCTCCCAAATTGGAGCTAATTGCTTTTTAGCCGCAGCGGCGTTCGGAAAATGGATCAGAATTTGGCATGTTCAGAAAGCAATTTAAATGGGAGGGAGGAATCGTGTGGCAGTTTGTCTGGCAAACGGGTTTTTCCTAACAGAGCGGCTCTGTGGAAGGGTCGCTCCACGCTCCCAGTTTGAGCTGTGGGACTGTAGTGCAGCTAACTCTCCCACCCTTTTGATGATAGAGGTAGCAGTAGATGTGTAGTTTAGTAGTTGAATTGGCACTTTAGAGAGACAGAAAAGAGAGTAAATTGACTAAAGGTATCACAAGCTCTACAAAGTCCCACAAACAACGCAGCAGCTTTCCAGTGACACGCCTCGTTATAAGTACAGCAGATAATCAGACACAGGTGGGGCTGCTGGTTAACAATCATTAGGCGACACTCCCAGAATTGAGAATAAAAAAGAGTTAAATATTGTTATTAATTTTGTGAAAATGTTGCAATACATTCTGATGAGGTGGGGAACGGCGGGTATCAAAGGTGAGGTTAACAGAGGCAGCATGTTGGTGTACGATCGTCAGATGTCTTCCTCCTTTTCTGTTCACTAAGCCTATGAATGAATGAATGAATGGATGGTAACGTCCTGGTCTGGTCTCTCTCTCAGCCTCGGAGCCCAACCTGAAGCTGCGCTCCCGGCTGAAGCAGAAGGTGAGCGAGCGGAGGAGCAGTCCGCTGCTGCGACGCCGAGACAGCCCCATCACCACCGCCAAGAAGCGCTCGCTCGACATGGCAGGTGAGCGACACGCGGCGTTCCAAAAAAACAACTTTGATTTTCAAGGCTGTGACTGTGTTTGATGTGTTTGTGTGTGTGTGTGTGTGTGTGTGTGTGTGTGTGTTTCAGACTCTGCGTGTAGCAGCGCCCCCGGCTCGGGCCCAAGCTCCCCAAATAACAGCTCCAACAACATCCCCAATGAGAACGGCATCAGCATCTCCAACAACACGGAGGTAACACACACACACACACACAGCAAGTAAGTAGGTATCCTAGGTTTAGGCCGATGAATGAATTGTCTCTTTATTCAAACGTTTACAACCTTTAAATGTTCTGTATCGTGAGCGGCAGACGGCTTCAGTTCACATTCTGCAGCCTTTCAGCCTCTCAGAGTAGCTTTGCTCTTTTGTGTGGGCGCTGGGCTACAGGTGCTTGGTATTTAAACCCAGCAGCCTACAGCATGGACAAAGGCTCTGAGTGAGGGATGTTCAGGTGATGGGTCTGCAGAGGAGGAAGACAGCCGAGGAGCCGGCAAGAAGATATTTGTGGCAGCCATTAGGGGCACTCAGGCAGTGTGGAGGAGGCCGATGGCTGTGACGGTTTTTACATCGGGTGCAGACGTAGCTCTTTTTCCTCATGTGTGGACGTCCACTGCTGCTGTGTTTGCCCCCAGTGCTGTTCTTTCCTCATGATTCAAACACAGATAAATCATTTGAATGTGCTTCCCAGGCGTCTCTGGCCCAGAGGCTGTGCAGCGGTGCTGAGCGGTGCTCCGTTAACCAGCTGTCCCTCTACACTTCGCCATCGTTGCCCAACATCACCCTGGGGCTGCCCGCCACGGCCACCGCTGCGTCCAACGTAAGGAGGAAAACCGCCGCGGCCTATTTGTCTGTGGGTTCGAGTGTGTGCTGTCTGTGACCGGTTGTGCTTGCCTCTCCTTTTAAGGTGACTTCGGCACAGCAGGATGGAGGTCTGCAGCCGGCCCTCTCCCTCAGCCCTCCCTTCCTCTCCGGCGTCCACTTGACCCCCTACCTGGCCGAGGCCGTAGCCGGAACGGGCGGGCACGGCGCCCACAGTCCGCTGCTCCAACACATGGTGCTCATGGAGCAGAGCCCGGCACAGAGCCCCCTGGTGACAGGTAGGAGTAGTAATGGATGCTGTACTGAAGCCTGTGAATGATGAGGCACAAAAGTTGTGGTGGTAGTTTTGGTAAAACTGAAAAACAGCAACTCACCAAATACAACTCCGACTAAAAGTTAAAGCATTCATCTCTTTCAATACTGCGCTCTCACTGACAGGCGGCCATTCATGAGCTCAAACTAATGAGCTCCTTTCATATGTCAGCGTGCGCTATGAGAGGGTGACATGGTTGCATTGTGCGCCCCTTTCCCATCAGCTCATTCATTGATGACCACTTTTGCGGCTATTTTCAGCGGGGGGCACTGTCGGTGAATGGGCAATGACGCACGTATGGGCGCCTATCCGCGCTCACAAACGCACAGACAAGGGTGCGTGCGCACGCACGTTCAGCAGAGAGAGAGAATCTCAACAGATGCGGTAATTTATTCCTCAGCTCAGACGAGGGAAAGTCATGTTTTTAGCCATGAAAAAGAAGAAATGCACCATGGGAAGAAAAGCTTCAGAAAAAGCGCTTTCAGAAACAATTTGAAAACACGCTGGGTGTTTAGTCATCTTCTCTCAGATCATTTCCTGGGCTCCATCGAGTCTGTTTTTCTTACTTTCCTCACCCCGGATGATACACTGTTAATTAACTAATCTGTTGAGAGGAATCACGGCTGCACAGATGGCGGTTTTTATTTGGTTCACAAATACATCTGCTGACTAATCTGAGGTCCAACACCAAGAAGAGCGAAGTTAGGAATCCACGTGTTCATGTGAACACATCATATATTTATCTTTTATTTTAGGAATTAGGTCTGCTGACCACTCGTTGTGGTCTGACAAGGCTCGAGAAGACGACAAAAACCTCGTGTCATGTTGTCTTCAAGGGAGTCGCCAAATTAGGCCTTGCAGACGGAGGCCCATGCATCATTATGACACCCAGTCTAAATACTCAGGCACTGGAAATGGGAGACGGACGGCTCATGTAGAAACGCTACCATCACTACTTAGCACAGACCACGTGCAGGAATATGATTCCTCACCTCCTCTCGTAACCAAAGTCTTCCTCCGTTTTGTGTCCAAGGTGTGAGCGGCCTGTCCATGTCGCCGGCAGCATCCATGGCCAAGCTGCAGCGGCAGCACCGGCCCCTGGGGCGGACCCAGTCGGCCCCTCTGCCCCAGGGGAGCGCCGCGCAGGCTCACGCCCAGGCCCTGGCCCTGCAGCAGCTGGTGGTCCAGCAGCAGCACCAGCAGTTCCTGGAGAAGCACAAGCAGCAGTTTCAGCAGCAGCAGCTCCACCTGAACAAGGTGAGGAGTGGAGATCTCCTGCTTACCTTCTCCTCTCCTCTCCTCTCTGTCGCCGTCGTTAAAGACTTTCTGTCATATAACTGGCTAAAAGATAACAACTCCACCAATGAGCAGTTAACGGGTTAACGTGTAAAAGCTGCGCGCGACTGTTTGCATTCACGTCCAGTGTGCTGCCATGGCAACAGAGCGGAAGCCTCTGCCCTTTTATGGTCGTGGAGGAAGTGAGCAGCCGCCACTCTGGACGGCTTTACCTATTCGAGCAGAGTACTCGCTGGAGGAGAGGTGGGTGGATGAAACAAGGGATTTCCTCCTCCTCCCCCTCCTCCTCCTCCTCCTCTTCCTCCCCCCCCTCCTCCTCCTCCCCCTCCCCTGCTCTGCCTCTCCCTCCATATGTTTCAAAGCTCTCCAGTGGCAGCTTTTCACATCTCGATAACAGCCTCCTCTTATTTAAATCTCCCCTTCAGACATCATTTTATTCTACATTCTGTAATGCGAGTAGTAGGCGTCAATTTAGTCAATTCATTGACTTACTTGATGAACCGAAAATGAGCAATTCAGATTATCACTTAATTGTTTAAGTCATGTATCAAGTTAAAATAAAAAACATTCTCTGGTTTCAGCCCCTTATAGCTGAAGAGTTGCTGTTACTAAGTCTGTTTTCCGGCACGTTCGGGACGTTCAACGTGATACATGCAAAAAAAAACAACCTCAGAAATTCGTAATTGTCTACTGGTGATGGTAAAAAAACTTGCATATACGTACTCATTTTGGTGGGAAAGCGGCATAATTGTGTTTTGGTAAGGACAGATCCGATGAAGAGGAGGCTTCTGGGTAAGAGGAGCCGAGGGAGGAGGTGAGAAATGGAGATTTGGGGTTTGTTTGGATGCAGAGAAGACAAGAACAGTACAGGAGAAAATGAAGAGCCGGGGGGGGGGGGGGGGTGCTTTGACGTCAATGCTGCACAAGCTCTTTGCCAGGACACACACACACACACCTGTAGCTGTAGCACACTCTTGAGACTTCCAGCAAACACTCTTTCTCGCAGCTCTCTTTGTCTTCACATCATAAACACACACACACAATGTACTTGAATGGCACTTCTGAACGGTTCCTGTCAGCGAGCGTGAATGAATAGACAACTGAATCACTACTCGGTTAACAGCAGGCCCCAGAGTGAGTGGATGAAAAGCAGCGCAGCGGGGAGCGTGGAATGTCTCTGTTCGACCAGACACATTTTGCCCCGGAGTACAGACGGCAGAGAGGCCACTCACATTCAATTAGAGCGGACGGGTTTGAAATGAGCAAGCCACCAATCTGACTGAGTAATCCAAATTAAGCTTGTTAAAAGAAGAATACTCCAGAGAAAGGAGTGATTTGCCAGGAATTTGATTCAGAGGAGAAAGCGCCCGTTTGTCTGAATGCAGCCTTACACGTTGGAGAGGGGATTTGTCACATCCTGCTGTTTCGATTGTGAAATCAATTTCACATCAGAGCATCATCCTCCCTTTTCTCCTTCCCCCCCCCGCTGCCTTCAGATGATGACCAAGCCCAGCGAGTCGCCCGTGGGCCGCCAGCACCAGAGTCACCCGGAGGAGACGGAGGAGGAGCTGAGGGAGCACCAGGACGGAGGAGCTCTGCCGCCGGGGGTCACCATCAAGCAGGAGCCTCCCGACCCGCAGGAGCTGCAGGAGGAGGCGCTGCAGCAGCATCAGCAGCACAGGGAGCGGGAGCAGGAGCTCCTCTTCAGACAGGTAGAGGACGGGGAGTTCAAAGTGAGACATCAAAGCAACGTGGACTTGAGAGAATCAATATGAAGGTTTCGGGGAATTGATTCTGCTTGGCACTGATGTATTGTAGCTGTCCTTGAGAGGTGAAAACACACAGAAAACCGGCACATAACTTTATTTAGGACTCTTTGTCCTATGACGTCTCTGTGATTAACCGCTGAGGGAGAATCAGAGCCGTCTCATTTGTTTTGGCTGCCATCTTTTGGCCATAAGTTGCACTTGCAGTATAGAATACATTGAAGCAGTATTTCTTCCCCTGTAGTCCCCTGAGGCATTTACATTTAAGGCATTTCACTGAGCAGCTCGCCGCGACTGTAGAACTCATCTTCTTTATTTGTGTTCCTGTGTGTGTGTGTGTGTGTGTGTGTGTGTGTGTGTGTGTGTGTGTGTGAGCAGCAGGCCCTGTTGTTGGAGCAGCAGCGGATTCATCAACTGAGAAACTATCAGGCCTCCATGGAGGCTGCCGGCCTGTCCATCGCCTTCCCAGGACACCGCCCCCTGTCCAGGGCCCAATCGTCTCCGGCCTCGGCCTCGTCCTTCCCGATCAGCGTCCCTGCCCCCGATCCCCCCGTCAAACCTCGCTTCACCACAGGTGGGCGTCACCTTTCACTTACCTCTTTCAGGTTTCTCCATCAGGCTGCTGTTAGTGTTTATGTCCACGACTGTAGCCTCCCTCTGGTCTGCCTGGAGCGTTCATTTGAGAGGTTATATTTCACTCGCTTCCGAATGCAGAAACTCGGGGACTGAAAGGAGACATTTCCGTCCAAAAAAAGCAGGTGAATATGCCAAAAAAATAAAATGGTTTAGTGATTCCGGCCTCCATCTGGTCACAGCAGAGAAGCCAATCTTGCCAAAACCATTTCTCTCGTCGCTTCTTCTTCCTCCCAGACATCTGACTCTCTAAACAGAGAGGAAAAGACAACAAGTGAATGAAGCTCCTACCAGCAACCTCTGTGTGTGTATTGACGTGTTATCACCATGAAGAAGCCATACCCTTTTTTCCCTTTTTTATACTATTTTTGTATTTATGTTGAACACACTTTATAGATCCCTCTTTATTCCCTTATTAAGGTTGTGTGTGTATGATGCACATATTTGCACATATTTTGTTATATATTGTGCATTATGTACATATTTGACATATTACATAGTCCTTTATTTCTATTGTTCTTATATTTAACAGCAACTGTGACGTGACAATTTTCCTCCGGGGATCAATAAAGTATTTATTTCACCAGAGAAACCTTAAAAACAATCGGCAGTGGATACTTGCTGATAATTGAGACTGTATTTTGAGTGCATGTTTCTCTCTGTGTGTGCTTCCTCAGGCCTGGTGTACGACTCTCTCATGCAGAAGCACCAGTGTATGTGTGGGAACACCAACAGCCACCCGGAGCACGCCGGCCGCATTCAGAGCATTTGGTCTCGGCTGCAGGAGACGGGACTCAGAGCGCAGTGTGAGGTACGTTACAAGAGGAGACCACGCCACAGTGAACATCACACAACGGAGTCAACCGTAAACGAGAGTTGTATCCCTCTGTGTGTGTGCGTGTGTGTTTGTGTGTGTGTGTGTGTGTGTGTGTGTGTGTGTGTGTGTGTGTGTGTGTAGTGTATCCGTGGGAGGAAGGCCACTCTGGAGGAGCTGCAGACGGTTCACTCTGAAGCCCACGTCCTGCTGTACGGGACCAACCCTCTCCGACAGAAACTTGATTGTAAGCTCACACACACACACACACACACACTCAGCTGTTAATATCCAGTCACTAACTGTCATTAATTTAATGTGTATTACTTGTTCCCCAGGTTCAGTCACTCCCATGTTCGTACGTCTACCGTGTGGAGGGGTGGGGGTATGTCACAGTTATCTCATAATAATGGAATAATCTGCAATGCAGTCATATTTTCTAAATGATTAAACGTACAGAAGTGTCTTTGTAATTCAAAACTTCAAATTAATAGACTAAAAATACTGTAATAAGTTAAGCTCAGGTGTGAGAATAACACACCTGTTTGTTGTGTTTGCAGGTGGACAGCGACACCATTTGGAACGAGGTCCACTCCTCCAGCGCGGCTCGACTCGCCGTCGGCTCTGTGGTGGAGCTGGTGTTCAAAGTGGCCACCGGGGAGCTGAAGGTAAACGAACCCAAAGCACCCCTCTTTGTGTTTTGAGTGTGTTTTTGCGGTCTTTTTTTTGTCTTGTGTGGAGGAAACATCGAGTGGCGATCCGTGCCGCTGTGGCTGACAGACTCCTGTCTCTCCCGTCTTGTCTCTGCAGAATGGTTTCGCTGTGGTCCGCCCTCCTGGACACCACGCAGAGGAGAGCACTCCCATGTAAGGCCTCAGCCGTCAGCGCACTCAGTTAGACGCTTAATCTAAGCATACACAAATACCAGCGTTGGAGCAGGCTCGTCTGGAACAGACCATTGAGTTTATTTGCACATAAAGGAATGAACGCCTTTATTCTGCCGGCTGTTTCAAGACCACTTTATTTAATTTATATCCCTCTCAGAACGTGTTCAAAAGGCTCTTTAAAACTGTGAATATAAACGCTGATTTTCATCTCTTTGCTGCTGTTTCAGGGGTTTCTGCTACTTTAACTCCGTGGCCATCGCAGCCAAACTGCTGCAGCAGAGACTCAGCGTCAACAAGATCCTCATCGTGGACTGGGTCAGTCTCCTGAGAACCCGCACTGTCTGTCATGTGACGTAGTTGGTCTGCATGACAGAGGACACGTCGTTTGTCTCTGTATGCACACAGTTTGTGATCGTATCATGTGTGCTGTCTGACCTCAGGACGTTCATCACGGCAACGGCACCCAGCAAGCGTTCTACGACGACCCCAACGTCCTTTACCTGTCCATTCACCGATACGACGACGGCAACTTCTTCCCTGGAAGTGGAGCGCCTGACGAGGTAAGTGTGCGTGTGTGTGTGTTTTCTTTGTTCAGACATGCAAATGAGGCATTATCTAATGCTAACTTTTGGTGAATTTAGGAGAATTCCACAGACACAAATAGACAAAGTAGTCAAATAAACACTAGTCTTAATACTCAGCAATATTCCAAATACAGTAAATCTGGAGTGGTATTAAACAACAAAGGCAAACTAAACAGCGAACGCAAAGTACAGTATTTGATCTTTGTCCACGCGTGCTTCTCTCTGCAGGTGGGCAGCGGGCCCGGAGTCGGGTTCAACGTCAACGTGGCCTTCACTGGAGGCCTCGATCCACCCATGGGAGATGTGGAGTACCTGGCAGCCTTCAGGTACCAGATTACAATACCAGCAAGTCACACAGAGGCCAGCAGCACAGTCTTCATGTGCGTGGAAAACCAGCTCAATACATTGAATGTTCAGCAGCTCATGTGGGATAACGGATGAACAGATTATAAGAAATGACTTTCTGGTTCATGATTTGACTGCGGTGGGTTAAGGTTGATCAAATGCGTGCATTCATGTTGAAGTATGTTAAGTTATCTGCATAATCTGTGCACTCCGCCCTCCGACTCTCAGGTCAGTGGTGATGCCCATCGCCAACGAGTTTGCCCCGGACATCGTGCTGGTCTCCTCTGGCTTCGACGCTGTGGAGGGACACCCTCCCCCGCTGGGCGGCTACAATTTGACGTCCAAATGTGAGCACGAGATTAACTGAAGAATGTTTTCTTATCTCGCGCTGCAGCAGTTGACCTCACAACACACCCGAGTGTGACAATTGAGTTTCTGGAGCCGACGGACTGAAATAAAATGAAATTCACACGCGGCCTGTGACCTGTCCTCAGGTTTCGGCTATCTGACCAGGCAGCTGATGACCCTCGCTGGAAGCCGGGTGGTCCTGGCTCTGGAGGGGGGGCACGACCTCACTGCCATCTGCGACGCCTCTGAGGCCTGCGTGGCCGCCCTGCTTGGCCAGGAGGTAAGGAGGTCACTCTGACAACACACGGGATCTGAATCCTAATTAATGTTCTCTATGTTACATGAAAGGGAGGAAAGGTTTGTCAGCCAGGTGCTTTCCATCTCTAGGAGGATTTAAAAAACTTTTGATACGTTTCAGGGCTAGATTTATTAGGCATTTATTAGAAACTGGGAGTGGGATGAATGAACTTTTCATCTCCTGCAAACAGCTGGACCCGCTGCCGAAGGCCGTCCTGGAGCAGAGGCCCAACCCCAACGCCGTTCACTCTCTGGAGAAAGTTTTAGAGACTCACAGTGAGTTCAACGCTGAGAAATCTGTCACAGTATTATCCCCGTGTCCTATTCCAACGATGCACTTTGGTTCCCGATCAGGTAAGTACTGGTGCTCGGTGCAGCGCTGCTCTCCGCTGCTGGGACTCTCTCTGCTGGAGGCCAAACGAGGAGACTCGGAAGAGGCCGAAGCCGTCAGCGCCATGGCCTCTCTGTCTGTGGCCAACACCAGCGCCATGGATCAAAGGTGAACTCACCGCTTACTGGAGTACATTTATAAGCTTTCACCTCACTTCTACTACTGTATATTGAGGAAGAGAGATAACTGAGTTATACAACTTATGCCGTATTAGCACAGGACCAGTTACTGTAATACCAACAGTGGCGAGACGTACCTGCGTGTGGCATAGAAGTCAGCTTGAGATTGAATATCTTTTTTGTTCCTGTATGTTTGTGTCCACCAGGACAGAGGAGGAGCCCATGGAGGAGGAGGAACCACTGTAACAGAGGGAAACATGAGGGTGTCACACTGTTACCTTTGACCTCTCCGGAGAAGAGTCTCGACTGATTCCCTTCATTTAGTCCCCCTAACCCCACTCACCACGTCGGTCACATTGATTGGCGGCCCCTCGGCCAAAAAAAAACAAAACGAGGGAGAGAGGGGGGTGGGCTCTGCCTCAAGAATAGGGAGCCAATCAGGAGACAGAGGACTGAATTGGAAAAAAAATTAAACATAACAGCGCTGCTTGGCGGCACTCGCTCAGAGACACTCATTTTTTTCTGTTAGTCTTCGTAGCCGCCGCCGTCAGCCCACGGTGGCCAAGGCAGTGGGGAGAGGGCGAGCATATATTGGAGTTGGGGGGGGGGGGGGGGGGGGGGGGGGGGGGGGGGGCGG